TAGATGAGGTGCTTAGGGACAGGGTTTAGTGGTGGGATGGTAGGGTTAGGTTAAAGGTTGGACTTGATGATCTTAAAGGTCTTTTCCAACCAAAGTGATTCTATGATTCTATGAACTCCCCTCGACAGGGAGCCCCGTTGCGGGGGTTCCTGTGCTGAGGGCTTCCCAGCAGCCAGCTCCAGTGCTGTGCAGGATGCCCTCTTCTTTTTTTCCATGGTCTTTTGTATGTGTTAGGAGAGAATAACTGCTCTTGTGACGTACACTTGGGAGTGAAGTGTGGGTTCATCTCCTTGGCCTTTTTCTGGGATACCTCTGCCCAACTGGCTTAATCTCTGTCCTTTGCCCAATTGCTTTCTCAGTCTCTTATTTTGTCACTTCCAAGGGATCTCATTACATTCAAGTCGCTGGCAACTAAAGCAACATCCTTAGCTGATACCATGTGGAAAAGCTAAGGAGCCAGCCCAGCCAGAAGCCCGTCCTTGCAGTCCCACCAGACTGCCTCGTCCCGGGGACGCTGTGCAAGTGTCCTCTGGCTGCGGGGACACGCGTGGGTGCTCCTCTCGTCATTTCCCATCAGGTTTTCCCTTGGTGTAGCTGATGTCTTCTGCAAGCAACTGGGGGGTTTTGTCCTTTGGGTGGCTGCAAGGACAGGAGGGTGGGCAAGGGCTTCCCCGGGGCTGCGTCCCTGCAAGGGTCAGCCCTGGGGAGAGGGAACAAACCCAGCCGCGGGGAAGGGTGACCTGACCATGCAGTTTGTTTGCAGCAGCCCCTGAGTTTGAAGCCCCTGGCTCGCTCCTCCATGCTCCCCTCTGTGCCCCCCCCCTTGCTTTTTGTGCCATGAGGACCTGCCTTACCTTATTTCCCTCCCAAGTCCTTTAAAAAACCCCACCTGGATCAGTCCCCAGGGCACTGCACAACCACTCCTGTTGGGATGTCGGAGAGGGCAATGCAGAGCCAGGGACCAGAAAGGGTCAGCAAACAGCAGCTGGCTTTACGCATGCTGGGGGGGGGAGGACACGAGAAGAAGGGGGGACACGGGGAAGCAGAGGGGGGGGTCCAGTGAGCACAGTGTATGCCCAGGCCTCAGGGCTCCAATGGCATTGTTTAACATTTTTGTGGTATTTGGAGAATCCAGGCTCCCCGGGCTTTGAGTGGCTGTGGCTGGTGCAGGCCCTGTGTTGGTTTGTTTTAAGCAAAGCATTTGCCATGTTTCCAATTGATTTTTATTTTTTTTCCACAAATCTCACTCAGCCCTGGGGTTTCTGAAGGAATTAAAGAGCGTGTCCTTGTTTTCCTCCAAAGCATCCTTCAGTATGTTAACAAATTCTTATACCCACATGCTTGTTGTTGGGGATTTGGCTCTGTTGGCGACGGATGCAATAGCTTTCTTCTTTCTCTGCCCTTCCCTCTCTTCCTCCCCCTCCTCCTGGAGGTCTGACACGTTATAGCCCCTTTCCCACAGTCCCTCTTATTTAAGGTCAGGACTCTCACACATCAATGCCTGTGGTTTAGCTCCTTTTTTCGACTCCTAAGTGACCTGACTTCCAACAACAGAGTGGCTCCTTTTAAAATTGCTGATGGATGCTGAACACCAAGCAGCTTTCCAATTCAATTCCATTTCCAAGTGTGGATTTAAGAGCCTGACTTTAAGCCAAGGTTTTTAAGCAGGGCTTCAACATATTTGTCAAGACCCAGAATTCAGACTTGGAAATCCATCGCTTTCCCTAGAGCCCATGCGCACAGGGTGTCTCCAATGTTAATGATACAGAAAACTTTATTTTTTCAGGAGACCTTTCATAGAATCATAGAATCGTTTAGGTTAGAAAAGACCTTTAAGATCATCAGGTCCAACCATTACCCTAACCCTGCCATCCCACCACTAAACCATGTCCCTAAGCACCTCATCTGCCTGGCCTTTAACTACAGACCAACCTCCACCCCCCCCCGACACCCCCCTCCTGTCAGGCAGTTGTAGAGGGTGATAAGGTCTCCCCTCAGCCTCCTCTTCTCCAGACTGAACACCCACAGGTCCCCCAGCCGCTCCCCATAACAGAATCATAGATTTAACATTCAGGCGAGTTCAAATTGCTGTTTTTCTGCCTGAACTCTTTCGTTATAACTACCCCATTTCTCGATTTGTTAGTGAATCGAGGGCTGTGCCCTGCTCTTGCCTCTCAAAGTGGATGGGGCTTGGGCAACCTGGAAGAGCCTTCATCTCTGCTCCCTTCTCCCCAGCCTCCCCAGGAGCACCGCATGCCTGCCCTGCCCGCCCGGCCATTACGCTGGGGAGCCCGGGGTCGCAGCCTGCAGCGCCTGCGAGCGGGGTGAGCTTTGATTTGTGTTTGCATCAGGCTACAAGATGCTTTTTCCCATGGCCAGATGCAATTACCAGGTAACTTAAAAGCACTGGAGAGTAAACAGGTTATTTTGTTCAGGCTAAAAATAGAATCGCAGCTCTCTTCCCATTCTGTTATTGAGGGTTTTATTAAAATGAAAAGAACAGATCTCAGAGTCACGCTTCTGTTTGCAGTGTTAGTATTAGCTTGTTGCAATGAAAGCCTTTTCCAGAAAGCCAGGAAAGAAGGTTTATGAAATTGAGTTAACAGTGCAAAGGGGAGGAGGGTGTCAGGAAAATCAAGTATTCCCCTATTTTTAATGGAAAAAGTGAGTCTAAACCATCTTTGTTTTCAGTTAGGCAATCTTCTGCAGTCTGAATATTAAGTGTAATACTCCCCTTATTCCCCAGACATTAAAAACTGGGGTTTTCGGCGAGCTGCTTTGCACCTGGCCGATGCAATGTGAGCCTGGTACAACGTGTTCGCAGGCAGCGTAACAACGCGTTCAAAACAGACCAGCATTTACTTATGCAAAAACCTAATTAACACATGCAACGCGGCAGCTATTCTGTACACAAATTAAGCGCTCCTCACACATGCACAACTGTTCTTTTTGAAACCCGCCCACCAAACTGTTTGGCTGGTACCTAAATCTTGGCTGTCGCTTGCTAAGTTTGGGAGGGGGAAAAAAAAAAAAAAGTCTTAACTGGCAAGGGTGCTGCAGTTTGTTGCTCCCCTTACTCAGCAAAATTGAACGCTGTGTTAGACCAGAGAGGAGGCTGTGGGGGTGCCCCCTAAATCATGCAATTATAAATGTTAAAAGTTCCTTTTTCCTTGCAGGGAGGGGGCGGGTGGTTTGTTGTCACCCTGCTCTGCCGCCACACGTGCTGCTTGGTGCAAGTCTGGGTTGGTTTGAAGGGCGTAAGGTAGATCTGACCCGCACCACTTCCAGCTCCACAGGCACCTTAATTCTGTCCCATGTGGACCCATGGCAGTGACCAGTGTCGTGCATCACCAGGCACCTTCCCCAAACCACCTGAAGGCCCAAGTGTTGATCTCCCACCTTTAGAGGTTGCCATTGGCGTGGCAGGGACTCGCAAGCCGGGTCCTGCCTGCCCCCCCGCCCACGCCTTGGGCGTTTTGGGGCATTTCGCACCTTGCTGTGTTTTGGGAAAGGGTCTGTACGTGTCCTCCTGCCCTTTGTGGTCCTGGTGGTGCAGGGAGGGAGAGCAAAGAGCAGATGCTGTGCTGAGCGGAGCCATCCCGGGTGGTGGGTCTTGCGCCCTTCCCTTTGCGGGGAAGGAGATGCACCCCAGATTTCCTGGGGTGGGGGAACCGCTGGAGGGGCTGGGGTGACCGGAGGGGTTTCCCCTGGCCAGAGACCCGCTCCAGCTGAATAACCCCAGAGCTGGCACTGGGATCCCCTATTTCAGCTTCATTCCAGTTCAACCTGCCATGCTGGGAAGGATGAGAGGTCTGTCTCTCTCCCTGTTGGGGTTTTGGATGGGAAGGTTGAGAGGTCTCTCTGTCTCCCTGTCGAGGTCTCGGATGCAAGAGTGATTCCAGGGGAATCTGCCTGAGCCCCCCGTGCTTCCCTCAGCATGGCAGAGGCCCTTAGGAAACTTTCATTGCTCTTTCAGGGCCTTTGACAAATAGAAAACCAAGCGTCCTGAATTAGCCCATGAAATGCCACCCGAAGCGCGTTGTGGGGAGTTGTTTTGGTTGCTTGTAAAATGGAAGTGAGCAAATATACAATGATGGGGGGCAGTGACAGTGGAGGAAAGACCCTGAAGCCTTACTCTTCTCTTTTTCAGGCTATTTTAACTCCAAGGAAAGTGCAGCTTTCTGTCTGCCTTGCCTGCCTGGATCATTTTGCAAGTAAGAAGTCTACCTGTGATGCTGCTGTCAGGCAGACAGGGAAGGGTGGTTTGCTTTTAGCCACTGAGCTAGAAGATCAGGTGTAGTGGCCAAAGGCAAGTCACCTGCCACTTGAGGTGTAGGGACATTGGTGCTGAGCCCTGGTGAGAGAGGGATGGTACGGTGAAGGGGGGATCCTGGCTGGATTTGGAGGTACCCTGGGATGAGGTGGCAGAGCATCAGCTTGCAGCCCACCTCTGCCAGCTCCCCTTGCCGACGTCCCGGTGGTGGGTGGGCAGCGCGCACCTCTGCTAAACAAACAGATGCTGGCACGGGGATCGGGCTGAACGTCCCTCTGGGCTTTGTGGATTTAAGCTGAGCTGATTGTTTATCCCGAGTCGAGGTGCGCGGAAGGCAGTAGCTAAACTACCCCGGCTGCGCCATCCCCTTTGGGGTGGGAGAGGAGCTGGTGGGGCAGTTCGTGACGGGTCCCACACCCTGCCCTGCAGGGATGCCTGCGTGGAGGCTGCAGGGTTTGTGTTCAGAGCCGGTGAATTGGCAGGTGAGTACTCACCTGCCTCCTGACCTCGCTTCTCCACGTTACGCAGTGGATGTCTGCTGCCAGTCGATTAAATTGCCCCGAGCCCAGAGCCAGGGCTTACCCGGCTGGATCTCCAGTCTCGCCCAGCTCCCTTCAGCGCCCCGTGAGCAGTTCCAGCAAAGTTTGCTACGGAATAGCGACTTCTGGGGCAGCAAGTGCCTACAAGTTTCACGCAAGTAAGCAACCAAAGAGAGGACAGAAATGCCATTGTATACCCAGCCCTAATTAGCCACCGGAGAAACCGCTCTGGGGAGAGACACTGAATGCCCACAAAAGGGCAGAAGCTTAGCTCCTGCTAGGCCCTGGAGACTTCAGTCTGTGCATACACGAGAGAGCTGGCCTTGGTGGGGTGGGCTGGTCTTGGGAGTGCTTGTCCAGCAGCGCTGTCTGTCTCCTCTTCTCTCCCCTCCTCAGCATCACCAGCTGCGCGGCGTGTCTGCCTTGCCCCGGGGGGCAGGAGGCTCTTTGGGAGGCATCGGGGCAGTGCACGCCTTGCCCACCAGGTAACTCTGCCGGGGAGGGCGGGGGGCTGCCGTCGCCCAGCCGGGAGGGCACGGCTTCAGCATCAGAAGGAATGAGTTCTTCCCAAGACTCTTCTCCCTCGCCGCAGCAGAGCCTGGGGTCGGGGGGGTCCGGAGGCTGGGAAGCAGCAGTGGCAAAGGGGACGGTCCATGAGGGGAGCTGAGGAAATGACTCTGCCCCTTGCATCGTGCTCATAAATACCATGGGACCGCAGCGGGTGGGTCAGCGGGAGGGCAGGGCGATGGCAATGTCGAGCCGCCTCTCTGGAGCCAGCACCGGGGAGTTCTCATAGTCAAGCTGCGTTTTAAACATGCAGAAAAGCATTTGCTACTTTGAGACCTGGGACTTCTGTGACCCATCATTTCCACAAAGCTTAGGAAATGGAGCTGTGCTTTCAACTTTGCTCAGCAAGCTTCAGGCACCTGGAAAAGGTGTTTGAATCCAGAATTAGAGAGGATGAAACACTGCTGACCTCCAGCTCCAACTCTCCCTCTGCTTTAAAGCCAGCGCTTGCTACTAAACCCCTCTCCCACCATCCTCCTACTCACACTGACTCTGACTGCCAAGGTCTGACCCAAGCATTTAGTCCCTCTGCCCCTGGTTGTCCTCTTTCCTGCCCCTTTGCCACCCAGCAAGGACCAAAGTCCAGGCTCAGCTTTTGTTATGCACATGAAGTATTTAATGGTCTTTCCCCATGTGGCTTTGAAAGCTGAATCATCCATATGCAATTGCAAAGGCCCCAGGGTTTAAATCCAGATCTTAATTTTATGCTTATTTGCTATTTTAGGTATGTTCAAAGGTCCCAGCGACAACAAATGCAAGCCCTGCAGGACAGGAGAATACCAGTTACAGTGGGGCAAGGAGAGCTGTGACCTGTGCCCAGAAAATCACTACTGCCCCGTGAGTCCCCATCAGCTGGTTTGGCAGCCTGGCTTAACAAACGTAGCTGTCCTGCGACAAGCTAAATACGCTTCAATTAACACCATTTTTAGCTGAGCCTATTTCCTTTTCTTAAGCATAGAGCCCTGATGGAGGGAGATGGTTAAAATGATGACACCAGGAGTCATCATTTTATGGCAACAGGCTTCCTGCCACCCTTGGAGCTGCCTGGTCTCACTGGGCCATCAGGGGACAGCCAGAGGGTGGCATATCCATTAACGAGGGGGTTTGATGTATGGACGTGCTGTATACATGTCCATATATGCTGTATAGATGTCCATACACCTTCTGCTCTTCCCCCTACTCCGAGTGACACCAGAGGGGCAGACAGGCTGAACTTAACGATGGCGGGTTCATTTCTTGGTTATTTTTCTTCTGGTTTTTTCAATGCTGGAGTGTCACCTCCCTTCACACTAGTTACCTTCTGCGGTCTTCCCCACTTGCTGGTGCTGAGTTAGTTCTTCTCTTGGGCAGAGCCCAGATGTGAACCCGGTCAAGTGCCCCCCCGAAGCCATCTGTCCCGCGGGCAGTGCTGAGCCGGCGTACTGCATGGAGGTCTTGCTTTACAAGGCAGGGGACTCCTGCCAGCTGACTCCCCTGATGGTCATCCTCCTGGCTGTCTTCTCAGCAGGTAAGTGCTGGTCTCCTCTGTCCTCTGATAAAACTACACACCCCTCCGCAGCCGGGCACCGTCATGTTAGGCCAACAGTGTTCTCTGGATGGTGTATTTTATGTTTCTGGAAACCTGGATTTCTAATAAAGGTCTTTCTGGCTGCTTTCAAGGCACACGATAATCCGTTCCCCATTTGTAAGGAGGGATATTGCTGAATTTGCTCTGAAGGAAGGCTGGCATAGTGCTGAACGTTTGTTGTTTGTCCTTGGGAAGCAGGTGTGGGTATGGACCTCAAAACGGGAATTTCTGGAAAAAGAACAATTTCCTTCTGGTGTGAGACTTCAAGGGTCCCGAAAGCATTCCTTCCCCGTAACTCCTGCCGCAGCATCCAGCAGGACAGGGTGCTGTCAGCTCGTGCAGTGTTGGTTGTATTGATGTTGTAGTGCAACCAACAGGATGAAGGGGAGACCTGATCGCCCTCTACAGCTGTCTGACAGGAGGCTGTAGCGAGGTGGGGGTCGGCCTCTTCTCCCTGGTGAGGGGTGATAGGACGAGGGGGAATGGTCTGAAGTTGTGCCAGGGCAGGTTTAGGCTAGACATTAGGAAAAGGTTTTTCATCGAAAGGGTTGTCAGGCTCTGGAATGGGCTGCCCAGGGAGGTGGTCGAGTCCCCATCCCTGAGGGTACTTAAAAGATGGGGAGATGAGGGGCTGAGGGGCATGGATGAGCAGAGGGATGGCAGTGTTATGTTAATGGTTGGACCTGATGATCTTAAAAGGGCTTTCCCAACCTAACCGATTTCTATGAAAGACAACCAGCACCTCCTGAGTAGGTGGAACAGCCCAGATGCCACCTGCTGGAATTAGCTCATTAGGGTGACCCAATGGGTGGATGAGCTTTTCCAGCTGGAAGCTACACCATGAATACGCATTCCAAAACAATGAATATGCATTTGTAGTCTTAGCAAAAGCAAAAAGAGTTCTATAGGTTTTAATCAAAGTTTGGGGGAGGTTTAATCAGAGAAAACAGTTACGATGCAAACGAGCAACTGTTACGGCTACGGGCTGCAGCACTGGCAGAAGAGCCAGCGGGGCAGAGGGACTTACCCCCTGCCTGCAGGCAGAGGAGCAGAAGCCCCACTGTAAGTGCCACCTATGCCAGCAGCTCTCTTGACAAGAGATTTTAATCTCCAAGTCGTAGAGATGAGTAAGTCATCAGAGGATAAGGAATTACAGCCTCATCTCCATGGGTTCCTGTGTTTTGAGCACAACAGGTACGTGCCTCCTGAAGACCTATTCCCCAGGCAGGCAGGGAGGGAGAGAGAGGTTAAAAGACAGGGAGGAGATAAAACAGATGTGTTCTTGCCCCCAGTGAAGAAGGAAGAGCTAAAGCTCGTTCTCCGACAACAAAGCAGGGCTAGGTCTCATCAAACGCCTCTCTCGGCACCTGCGGAGAGGACTCTGGATGCACAGGAGGAGAAAGGACCGCAGGGTCTGGAGGAGCTGCAGCTCCAGCAGTCCTGGCTGACGGCTCTTCCCAGAGGGCTGAAAGGTCCTGGTGGGCATGGAGGAGGGCTGTTCTCACAAGCCATGGCTTGGAGCTCTGTGAAAGCTCCTCCGCTGGCCCATATCCCTTTGTGCCAGGCTGAAGCCCAAAAATCTGCCAAAGTAGATGCCAGCTGAAGCGAGTATTAATTAGAAAAAGTAGATTAAAATGAAGCATAATGAAAAGCCTGCCCACCCTGGGACAACGGCCCCTTAACCAGCACTTCTGATACCCACGTCCGAGGGTCACAGGGCTCCTCAGGGAGGTCCTGCCTGTCAGGGAGCTTGCTCAGAAGAGGGGTAAAAGAAACAGCCCCCGCAGGAACCTGCGCGTATGCCAGGGCTGGTCTCACAGATCAGTTGTTTACCATGCAACTCTGCTCATGCAACCGAAATTTGGACGTATTTGCCTGGCCATATTGCATCACAGCAACAGATTTGTGCTCTTCTGTTAAGATCACTTTTCCCCGATGATGCTTCTGCCAGAAACAAACAAACAGGATAGCGCAGATCTTGATAGTTGCTAATTATTTCCATGTCTATGCCCAGCCTAAAAGTAATTTTTCCTGACAGTCCTGATCTCAGTCTAGACTCAAAGTTAATCTAGGTCAGTTACTTCTTGTGCTTTAGTGTAAGCGCTGCACAGAGCACACTGTTTCTCAGCAAGATCCTTCAGTGGGATCAGCAAGGGCCAAGATGCCAGGTGAAAAATCAATAGTTCCACAGAGCAAGAGTAAATGGGAGTAGGAAAGCAAGTTACTGAATTATTTCATTAAAAGCTGCTGTTATTCTCCACAGCTTCCACAGTAAAGCCGAGATGTCAAGGTATTTAGTATTATAGGTAGCCAAAGGTGTTTTTTGTGCAGAGAAAATATAGGAGAAAAAAAAACCCTTCACAGAATCACACAGAATAGCAAGGGTTGGAAGGGACATTGGGAGACCACCTGAGCAACCTGATCTAGTTAAGGGTGTCCCTGCTCACTGCAGGGGGGTTGGACTGGGTGACCTCTAGGGGTCCCTTCCAACCCAAACCATTCTCTGATTCTATGATCTAGTCCAACCCTCCTGCTCAAGCAGGCTCACCCAGAGCAGGTTGCACAGGACATCATCCAGGTGGGTTTTGAGTATCTCCAGAGAAGGAGCCTCCACAACCTCCCTGGGCAGCCTGTTACTTAATTTACCCTTAATTTACCAGAAGAGAACACCTGAGTTGGGAAGCCCTAGAGCAAACGACACCGGACACTTCACCTTCCTGTCTGAAAATAACTACCCTTCCTTGCCTTCTAGGTACGATCCTTGTTGTCTTTCTAATAATTCTGAGAAGAAGGCAAGACCATAGCAAGAATTCATTAAAATCTCTACTCCTGCCCCGAGGCTCAGGACGACACATGACGTACGGGGGGACGGAGCACACAGAACCAGTCTACACTGGCTGGTAGTGCAGGACACGCTGTCAGCAAGCACCCTCTTCTTTTTGCCATGGGGCAATTCAGATGTGCGCCTGTGGGAAAATGTTTAACCATGAGCAACCTATTTCTGTATAGCTAAAGTAAGCGCGGAGAAATAAAACTCAGTCTTTGAGTTTTGGCTATTTGTGCTAACCAACCCAGCTGCCAGCTGCGTACCGGAATAGATCGGTGGGAAAAGGCTCCTTCCTTCAATTCCTGGCTTCATTCACCAGTAAATGATTCTCTCCTTTCCTCAGGAAAAAAAAAAAAAAAGCAAACAATTATGTCTCTCCCTCCATTTCAACAGTCAGCTGAAACTCAGTGGGGATTGACTGCCCCAGGGATTAAGGTTCCGGTGATACAACGATCATTTCCACCTGAGCAGGAACTAACACAAATATGCTTCCTTTTAAGAATATGCAATTATTTTCTTTTTGCCATTCTGAAAACTTCACTGTTTCTTTAAGCAAGGCTAAGTCAAGGGAAGGCAGCCCAAAGCTTTCCCCTTCTTCTCAGCTGCGGGAAACATGTGCAACTGAAATAATGGTGGATTGCTGGGCAAATCCGTCCCTTCTGCTTCCTGCTGTCAGATGGTGCTTCGTTCTAAAGCTACAAAAGCAACTCAAAACTTTCATCAGATCTGGCAGGAGTTGTTTCTTTCTCCACCAAGCCGCACCAGTAAGACATGACACTGCACGCAATCCTCTGGAGCCAAGCGGAGCCGCACGCTGCAGCCTTGGAGCACGTTTTTGCATGCCTAGGAGATGTGCCTGTACTAAACCCATTGCTTAAATGCCCGTGCAAAGTTCTGGCCCCAATCCCTGATGCTTGGTTCATTCTCCACCCATGAGAGCAGCACGTGTGGTTTGTACCCGTTTTCCCTGCACGGAGCTGTGGCACTCCAAGCCTTCTCCTGTGCTGCTGCCCCAGTTCAACCGTCTGGTTAAACTGATGTGATCTGTTTTACAGGGATGATTTCAAACCGTGCAGGTGTTTGTGGGGCCGGTTAACTCTTCTCTTTTTAAAACTGTTGTTTGCTATCATTCCCTTATCATCTTCTTTCTCACAGTGATGTTTAGCTTTCTGCACCTTATCCTCGTAGCTGTTTTGAGGTCTTGCCAGCATACCAGGCACTCAGAGACCCCCATTGACTGTAACGGAGCCAGCTTCAGCCGCTCCACAAAATCAGTACCTGGGGTCTCTTAACTTTCCCACCTTGTTGCCTCCAAGTCTCCTACAGCAAAATTCATGCACGCAGTAGGTGCACTGCATAGCCCCAGACAGACCAGCCGGCTGCGACCCTTCATCACAGGGCTGTGCTTCACCAGGCTCTACGAGCACAAGTAAAAATAGTCCCTGCTATTAAAAGATGTGTGCTTCTAAATGAATGTGCACTGCGGTGGAAGCAGGTGTTACTTCTCACGTTTGCCTTGCAGCAGCAGAGTCAGCTGAAGCCACCCAGCTGGTGGGGGGTTAAGTGCTTACTGCCCTCAGCTGCTGCTTCTCCTCTCCCCAGGGGAGGTGTTACTGTGTTTAAAAAAAAAATAAATATATCTCTGATCCCTTCTCAGCTCTGTCAGATGAATAAATGGATGGGAAGAGAGGTACATCTTTGTGGGCAGATTGCCCGGAGAAGGTGTGGATGCCCCCTCCCTGGAAGGGTTCAAGGTCAGGCTGGATGGGGCTTTCAGCAACCTGATGTAGTGGGAGAGGTCCCTGCCCATGGTGCGGGGGGTTGGACTAGATGATCTTGAAAGGTCCCTTCCAACCCAAACCATGCTGTGATTCCGATCTGGGTCAGCAGTAAGATGGACGGTACCTCTAACCAGATCCAAAATCTGCTGCGTGGCATGGGCAGAGCTCCCCCCATCCTCCCCACCAGCTTCTCTCACACTGTCGATTTAGTAGACAGGCATTAAGTTTCTCAACTTGCAAAAACTGTGGCTTTTCACATCACAAGAACAGCAAAAGGACACAATCCTGATGGACAGCACCAGAGGATCTGGGCAGAATGGTAACCCATTGCTACCAAAGCAATTTTCAGAAACGCTCTTAAAAACCAATGTCGCTGCTGTCAGACAGGGGAGATTCCACGTATGAAGTCAAATCAGACCCAGACTAAAACCTGTCTGAAAAAGCAAAACACAGTCAAATTCAGCCCTGACCAAGCAGGAACAGCCCCAGTGACAGCTAAAAGAACCCAAGGAACCAGAACTGGTAGGACTGCGTGACTCCAGCTCCAAGTCATCAAAGCCTGTAAAATTACGAGCAACAGAAAACAGCACCATGGCAGGAAAAACTGTGCTGCAAAAAAAAAAAAAAAAGTCAGTATTTTTGTGATAAGCAACACTGTGAAAACAAGCCCAATCATTACCACCTCCACATAAGCCTAAAGCATTATTTCCAGAGTCTCTTAGGAAGTCTCGGAGTGTAAATTTTCACTATTGAAGAACAACATCCAGTTCCCTCGCTGCCCAACCACACTTGCCTAGTATGTATCGCTTCACTATTTCTCTTTAAAGAAAAAAAAAAACTGGTGCAAAAATAACTATATAGATCTGTTTTACAAAAAAAGAATTAGCAACTTCTTAAATAACTAGGAATAAATTTTAATATTTAATAAGACACTGAAGTTTCTCAAGCAGTCAGACATGGAATAATGTGACTCAACAATGTGGAAAAAATCCCATTAACACGTCCTTCCAGATATTTTGCTTTTCCAAGTAATTAAAATAAAAAAACCCCTAAAAACTGACCATGAACACACAGCTATTGAACAAAACAGACATTTAATTTGATTATTCCTCCTAGATTGTATGAAAATACATCTAACATATTCAACTGAAAATTGTTTCCATGCTTGCTCATGTGATAAAAGAACAACAAATTCTGAATTTGGCTATCGTGTACCAGCTTTGATGTGTTTGCTGGAAAAGGAAAGACATCTTTCTACTCTGATGGGCAAGACGCTAAGTACATAATTTAGTGCCATATAGTATGTCATGCTTAGATGTTATTTAGGTGAATTTATACAGAAAATCTTTAAGTTGCTGAATGCTAAAAAGTATTGAGTTGCATCATGAGAAAGCTTAATTTTTCCAAGATTGTTTTCCCTTGTATTTGAACAGTGGGAGAAGGAAAATGGTGAAACAACTTTTCTTTTGTCATCTTAAGGAAACTTCAGCCTATTTTCCCAGTGCTGCAGAGTATGGTACAGAATCCTTCATTAAAAGACACCCAAACCCATATTTCCTGAATCAGAAACTAAAATTCTACCAGACAGCAACCTGAACGGCTTAGCTGAGCTCATGGGGTTACATGGTCAGTACATATTAAGGGAGAACATGATCCACATTTCTTTCCAAGATCAATTTACAAAGTATGTGATCAGCAGAAGGAATGAATTCCTAGCGACTCAAAAGCAAACTCCTCGTTTGCCGCCTCAGTGACGCAAGCCTTCGTTGGCCCCAAGAGTCAGACAGTAAAGAGCAGAGAAGAGGTAGAAGGAAGCAGAAAGTCAAACAGCCACTTGCTAAGATCTGTTTGTGTAAATTTAGCATTACGAAAAGAGGGCTGAGAGGGATTGCTTTGAACGCCAAAGTCTTTATTTACCCACAGACAGATACAAAATGGGTGGCTGTCCTGCATCCTGCCGTACTAAATGTGCTTGTGAGCCCACCTGAGAGGCAGGCAGGGAGTTGGAGGCTCCGCGACCGATCTTAAAATGGATGGTGTTACTGCAGCAGTGGCGATCAGTAACTATGTGAGGTGGTGGCTTCTGGAAGCGGGTATCTGCCTCTTAGGACCTGGGGCATAACTGTTCCAGGGTGCCAGAGCTGTTACGCCTATATATGAAGAGGAAAAAGCAACGAAACAACTAAAAAAATTAACAAATTATAAAAGCAATGGAATGTAAAGGTAGAATTTTATAATAACTTATTTAAAGGTATTCTTATAAAGCCTTCCTTACATGATATAGTATTCAAAGAATGGTCCCAATGATACCAAATTCCTTCATTTTCTTTAAAAGTGACGAGGAAAATCCTTCTGCTTTACTACCTGATCTCACTTCCCTCCCCTCAAACCCCAATATTAGAGAAACATACACAAGACCATTTTTTGGTTTTGATCTTAGGTACAGGCTTATGCTTCAGTCCTGGTATAACACCTGTCTCTAGCAGAGGGAAAGTTTCTCCGCAAATCAATTAAGAAATCTTGATTTTTCCCTTGAGTGCAAGGCTTGGCATACCGCTTTAAAAAATGCAGACATGTAACACTTCCCCCTATTTTGAACTGTGCTAGTTTTTCAAAATTATTTGAAAAAAAATTAACCTTCCAGCAGTGTTTCTAAAAATTGATTAAAAGGACAAAGCACTTTCGTCCCAAAATAGAAACCAAAGAGTTCAGGTTAGGGCAATGTTACATTTAAAACCTCTTTCAATTAATATCTTCTAAGAAACCCAAAGTTTTTACCTGTTGGGAACAAGTGGGGATTTTTGATAATTCCAAAAACTAAATCTGCAATCAAATCCTGAAGAAATAGTTTGGAAAACAAACATACACTTTCATGATATAGCAAGGCTTCGTTTTCAAAAGGGCTACACAGACTTTCTGCACTATTAAAGGCAACCTAAGCTAGGACATACACAAATTACTAAATGGACATGAAGGCGCACATTGTGTTTATGTAGGCTAGGTAACAACGGCACAAGTCAAAACTTACTTGTAACACTGCCTAATCACACACCAATGACATGCACTGGGAAGAAAAAAAGTAAAGACCTTTTTCTTTACTGTTTTTTCCTAGTTCTAATATTAATTTCCATCGATACTAAATCTTTTCTGTTTATCTCACTGCAAGTGTGAGAGCCTAACGGGAGCGAAGAATTCAAAACAGCTTTGCTGGCACAACCCAGTGGCGATAAGATAGTCGAGAGCAAAGCTCCTAAAAAAGGAAAGAATGATTTCAAACAGTCTGCTAAGTCAAGTAGCCAGTTTTATACAAACTTTAACAAAAGGAACAGGGCCAGGCTAAATTTCACATTAAAATTGTTCCTTACATGCTTCTTCAAAAATCTGTTTCACTTTTAATTGTTTTTGAATTTATTTTTTGCACTTTAGTCAAGTTTCACCTTTTGTTTCATTCATGGGTGTTTTTTTGTTCCTTGTTGGGCATTTTTTTGCGTTATCACAAAGTT